TTTACTGTCGAAGTTTGTATCAAATTATTACAGTGAACTTCAACCTTACTCACTTACTTCTATGGTATTGTATTCTATGTATTGTATATTTGCAATTATGAAACGATTCATAACAACTCCCAAGTAACTAATTTAACATTATAGACAGGTAAACAGAAAATTAAATGATTGCAAACACAGAACGAACTAATTAAAAACGAGTAATGTGATGCTATCATATGTACCTACCACCACACTTCTTATAGTCTGTTACACCTTTTATTGAATATTTACTAATTCAGGATGTATCATCGATTGTAACAAACAATATGCACAAACATTTCCTGAAACAACCTTCTTGTACTGTAGCTAACCTACCTATTCCAGGAAAATAAGCCTCATAGGATGACACTTTCCCAATTTAATCCCCTTAGAACATTTCTACCGTATTGCAGAGTTTTACAAAAGACGCGCGTTCAGTTCAATCTGGCTTTGCCCTTTGTATATGTAGAATGAAGGGCATTACGTTACGCTAAGTGTATGTAAGCACGGTGTAAGAAAGGATGAAAGTGTCGTTAGTATAAGTCGTTAATTGGATAATGAAAACTCCCGCGTCTCTCCGTTTTAGAGAATTATGCAGAAGCTGAAAGGGTAAATTACCCTCGATTTCCTGTTAAGTGAAAGATGCGGTTGAAGAATGCATGCTCGGTAACACAGGAGTCTATGACTAGTATTACAACATTAGTAGGTTAAATTCTGGGGCTACATAGTTCGGTATACGAAATGCATGTTTCATTTCAGATGCAATGTATTGAAACGAGTGATATGCATCGTTGTAGAATAAGATTTAGTTCGATTTTTCTGTATTTTACACTTTACAGTAAAATATTAAGCAATGAAAAGAAGAGAACTTACCTACTACTAAAAATTTAACCAACCATTATGGATCACGACGACTACTGTAAAAAATAAATATAAAATTTAGTAGTGACTTACTACACCTCAGATTTGCTTCATGACCAACATGTAATGGCTTCAGTTCGTTTTCAAATACCCAAACTGCGTACTGGTTATGCCATATGTTTTTAAGTTCTTTGTTTTGGCTATATTGCAATCCGAAACCCATTTGTTAATGGGGAACGTAAGTTTGAATTAATGGGAATTAGGTCTGAGTACCGTTCCCTTATGAAATGCTTAAACGAGTTCACAATCTACAATTGATATGTCTGCTGAGCTGGAACTCACCTAACACTTGGTAAATACGATCAGACGTTCTGCAATGCAATGTGTGGATTACCGGAGCAGCTGCCAAAGTGCAGATAAATTTTTGCTACCGTCGTGACGAATTGCTCTGCAATTGATTACATGAAATATAGAAGTTGCTACTGTCTAATCAATTGTAACCATAAAAAATCAGCTTGGTTTGCGTCGGGTTGTAACAAGTGGTCGCTTTAGGGTTTAAAGATTTTTTTTAATTTACAAATTGGCGGTAGAGAAAATTTCATATGTGTGCCGCTTCATAAAGAAAGAGGATGGAACTAATATGTGAGAAAATAAAACGCGTTAAGATAAGTTAAGATAACGAGTGTTCAAGCCTCAGAGTAAGAAATAAAGATAGAGTACGCGTCCGCTATAACAACGTGAACGTTTGTTTTGAACCAACATCTCTGTTCATTTGACCGTTGAGAGGACGAAAGTAAACATTAGTCAGTGGCGTACGGGTTATTTATCTTTATGGGCAACAAAGTTTATGTTTTGTTTACATGTGCAAACGTAATAACGTATCACTAAATATTTATGACCAAAAGCTGCGTGTGTTTGAAAGGTCCCTATTGATCTATGATAAGGTATGGTGATACTTCAAAGTGGGAACTTAGAAGGAAATCTAAACACATTAAACTGCGAAAATTCCCGTATGCACGTCTATGACTTCAAAACACATACCGATGAAAGGTTATGTTAGGTAATTCAATAATTCCACAAATAATACAGCTTTTCCCCATTTCAAAGGGCTCCCATAAATTAATACACCATACTCGAATAAGTCCTGCACTATAATAACGCTTAAAAATTAAGGAATCACGTTTTAACGAAATAAACAAAATACCTCTCAACGAAAAACAAAGTTACAGCGTTGCCGCTCTGGTGCACTACTCACCATAACTTTTCTTGTTACGCCGTTTAATTGTAAGTTAAAATTGTTTGAGTTACTGAACTCTTATAAGCATCTAAAAATCCATTTAGATTACTCCAGATGCATATGTTATTAATATTCCCTTAAAAACTATCTCGTGAAATGTGACAACTTAGCCTCCTGCAATGTTAGTAAACAAAGGAGATGATGGCACGCATAGATAAGCATCAAGGCATCTCTATCTTTCCGGAATTGAAACGCTACAGTGTTGCCGGTTTGAAAACCCTCGTGACGAGGAATGAAGGACGGTGTTTCTGCTATACCTGCGCATGTGTAAACAGAGTGAACGCTTGGTTTTCGGTGGGCCCGTTTCATTACTGGAGCACGGCGAGCACATAAGTAAAAATTGGGTGGGAGAAAGACATCGAGGCAAATCCGCGTGACGTAAACGCGGAAATTTACAGATCGCGTAACACGAAATCCTTCGACAAACTGTTAAGGCGAATATTGTCAGTTGTGCAAGCTTTTTTTTTATCGTTAGCAGAGCAATCTTAAATTGTGCCACCATTTTTGACGAATTTATTGTCGTGGGTGCTTTATACATTCAGTGAGAGCTATCTTTTCAGACAAAACCCGTTTTTTACAACAAGGGAACACCGACAACTGATATCATTTGTTACTTTTTAAAGCGAAATCGAACATGTTCGTTTCATAGTATTATCGGATTAGCGTGCTCTCATTTGAATAAATTGTTACCACGAAACCACTGAGGTCCAAGGTGCAAAATATTTCATTGCGATTATACTTGTAGCTAGTTACGTTAAAAACCAAGTTTATCAATCAAAACTGTGCATTTCTCTTGTGTATACGGGGTAGATTTACATTAAACTGCAAATGGTAAAAAGGTTAAAACAACAACAATAATTCGTGCATTTGTTGGATGGCAAAACCCTAAGTTATAAGGGTAATTTTGGACATTTCCATACTGCGGAACATTCCGGTAAATAAATCAAATTTCAACTAAGAAATTGCGTAAAACTTGAAGCACAGTTTGATCCGGATTCAAATTCGTCAACCATCTTTCGAGATTCGCCTTCAATGAGTAACCAAAGTTTTACATGGTGATGGGCAAGGTGCCTGAATACGTGTAATAACTAATAACAATTGAAAAAAAAAACAATAGTACAATGGGAGAATTATTTTGACTGACCTTTTTACCGATAAATGCGTTATTTTTTGCATTGTATAACCATAGGAATCGATTTTTTGGGATTTTGTATAAGAAATTTGCACTTAAAGTCATTCTAACGTTCCTGAAGGGGTCGACTCACTGGAATTTATCCCGTGAACAAATATGTGTACCAAAGATTACCTCATTTTACTCATTAATTGTGAACTGATTATTAAATTCAGTAATACCATTCTTTTGTGTGGGTTAAATTTTGTTTAGCATCTAGGTGCCAGGTGTTTTGATTAATTACGAATATTAAAAAATCTAGGTAATTAATTAGATTGGAAACGTGATCGCGGTATAGGAATTTAAACTTAAAAGATAACTGGAGTTAGAACGGGACCATGTTCAACAACATATTCAAACAAGTCAATTTATATGGGTTTGACAGTGATCAAACCAGAGCATCAGGTTTTAATTTTCAGATTTTAAGTGGAGATAAAGAACTAACCTTCCTCAGTCATTGAATATTTATTCATTACTGAGCTAGCCACGGTATTAATTGTTTCATTACAAAAAATTAATTGTTACAGTAAACCTTTGACCAGTGCCGTAGAGAATAAAATTTATTCTCTACACGAGGGGTTTGTAACCCCTGTAAATGTAACTTTTTTAATCCGGCAACTACATTAGGAAAAATTGGGTGGGAGAGAGAAAGTAATTTATAATTTATTGTCAATTGAAGGTTGTAATACGAATTCTCATAATCGAGGTACACGGAAGTAACAGCCGCGTAATCCTACGCGATATTTTTATCGCGAAAGATGAAGTTAATTGCCCAACTGCAAAGGAAAACTGTGACGCCAATTCGACGAAATTATTTTCGTGTGTGCCATCGCGAGTAAAACCTATATAAAGGGCCTATTTATGCATAAGGGGAACTTCGTTGTGTAGAGGAATCAGTAGGTTGGTTTATTTATTTTCAACCGGGAATATAGGGCGAATGTGTTAATGTTAATACGCGATTTTCGTTTTGGTTAGCGTAATCGCGCTTAAATAAATTTCACCACAAAAGCATTTCATTGCGTTTATATACTTGGAGTGGTTAGTTACGATAAAAAACAAGTTCACTAACTAAATAACAAAGATTATGGATTAAACGACAGCACGTAAAAAGTTTAAAGACGATTAATTAGTCCTTTTGCTAGGTGTTAAAATCCTAGGTATGCAAGGGGAAAATTGGCATTTCCATACTGCGGAACATTGGTAAATTATCCCAGTGAGTATACAAACTTGGAACTACTAAATTTCAAGAAACCTGATTCAAATCGTCAACAATCTTTCAAAAGTCACTATCGACGAGTAATAAAATTTACCAGACAATACAAAAGGCCCAATTGTATTGTATAAGCCGTTCTCCTATTCAATTTTTTGAGTTACTGCTACCTTTTAAAAGGAGAAAATCGACTGTAATTTGGAGAAAACTTCGACTCATCGATAAATATAAGTTATTCGAAATTTTTGCATTGTATAAAAACAGGAGTCGACCGTTATGGAGAAGAAAGTTTAATAAACAATTAGATTTGAGACGTGATTACGAGACAGGAATTGAAATTCTATATTGTATTTGTTGCATGAATTACATCAATATTAATCACGAAAAATGTAAAGAACAGTGGAGTTAGAACGATATTATTTTCATCAATATATCCAAACACGCCAATTTACATGAGTGTTTATTTGAGAATAATCAAACCAGAGCATCAGGTTTTGATTTTCAGATTATAAGGAGAACCAAGGTAATTTATTACTGAGCTAGCTGTCGCTTTAATTATTTCGTTACAAAACATGAATTGTTACAGTAAAATTTTTATCAGTTCCATAGGAATTAGAATTTAAGTATTAAGTGGGGCGTTCAACCCCTGTAAATGTAACTACGCCGTTGCAGTTGACATCGCCTTAATAATAGTCCAATTAATTTTTATTGAAGATCAATGCAGGGCACTAGACTGACGAAAAATTATGAAATGTATATGACGTTTAGAATAAATCAAAATAATCAAATTATTGTTGACAATTAACAAACGGTTCTGATTCCGATTCTTGCTACAATTGATTTACAATTCGGTTTTTGAAACTAATCCCCTATCCTTTATAACTTTTGAGTAATATTTGGCAGAGTCCTTTGGAATACGCGGTCTATTTGGATCAGAGAAATTCACGTAATATAATCCAAATCCAAAACTGAAGAGAATAGGTAAAAATAGCATGTTTAGGTAAGAGCACTTACTTGTAACCAGCAGACCATTCGAAACTGTCCAAAAATGACCAAGCCATGTAAGCCTTTACTGGAACATTATCCTCATAAATAGAATCCAAGACGTTACTTAACAGCCTCTAAAATAGGTACTGAAATGTGAATCCACGCTTGAAATTCTATACAAACCTTGTGATAATTGACTCGTTTTTCATCATGTATAGAATGTGTATCAGCATAACCGTTTTCAGTAATGTAAATGTTTATATCATCATAGTTGTCTTTAATGTATTTCAAGAGTTTTCTGACTCCCCAAGGAACCACCTAAAATTGTCAATTCAAAGAGATAACAGAACCGTTTCAATAACCTTAAAGAGTGTAAAAGCGCTCGATTCCCAGGATGGGTCGAATACTAAATCGGCTTTAAAATCCTTTTCGACCGACGGATTTGCTGAAAAATTTGTTTCTTTATTTTGTACTAGATAAGTGGTGTAATGATTTATTGCTAGAAAATCTGAAGATCTTTTCAGCTGTTCCACTTCTTCGGTTGTAAATTCTGGCAGTCTTGACCTGAAATAGCCTTCCGATTCGCTTTCTTCCCTTACGAGTCTTTTTAACAACTCGGGATAGTCTCCTTTCTTAGTGAAAATAGGATGCAAGTATTTGTCTATCTAAAAGAAACGCAGTAGAGACGAGCGTGGTTAAATTTGCTATCACTTCAAACTGTATTACACGCTTAGTAGCGTTAAGGTCATCCAACGAATCCGTAGCCGGTTCATACCATTGCAAGTCGATGCTTATACCAACCTGACCTAAAGAGAATGCATGAAATTATAGCATAAAGCATTCAAAGACGGGTAGGTACCTTGTTGGGTCGGTTTAAAGTCATTTTGATACAAGCGATAGATTTTAGCGTGAGCTTTAAGTGCATTGTGATCGCACAAATAATCAGCAATTCCTGATAGTTTAACTCCAGGGGCAAAATTCCCGTTGCCATATCCAAACTGGCACATGATCCGTGGTTCGTTAACACTAATCCAGTGTTTGACCCTTGTCCCGAAGTACTCAAACAAAACTCTTGCGTAATCCTCTAACCACGAGACTACGTCGTTATTAACAAACCCTCCCATAGTGGATAGTGTCTGAGGTAGCTCCCAGTGATATATTGTAACTATTGGTGAAATATCGTTGGCTAAAAGTTCGTCAATCAAATTGCTATAATAATCGATTCCTGCTTGATTAATTCGGTTTGGAAAACCAGTCGGCATAATCCGGGCCCAATTTATTGAGAAACGGTAAAACTGTACGCCGAGATCTTTTAAGTGTCGAACGTCTTCCACAGTTTTGTAGTAAGAATCGCAACTCATGTCAATATAATTTTTGCCTTCAACTTTCTCGGGGTAATTTCGCACTAGGTGATCCCACATAGTTTCTCCTTTGCCTTAAGGACGTGATTAGTTTTCAATGTTAAAGTTTCATAACTTACCGTCAACATCCCAGGCGCCCTCGACTTGCTGAGAAGAGGAGGCCACTCCAAACACAAAATCATTTGGGAACTTTTTTACATTTATCGATTGACTAGAATTGAATTGAACAAATACGCTTAACGGTTAGTAAATTGATTTACCTGTTAATTAGCAGAACTGTAAGCAAAAGTATTACCGTTAGCATTATGCTTTGTAATGGACCAATCCTGCAACAGTAATGATCAAGGAGAAAATGGCAACTTTCTACAGAAGATAAATATAAAATGATACCTATCTAACGTACTGAGAGTTTTATTTTAGTAGTTATTATCGCAGATTAGATTACAATTTTTAACCTTTGTTTTCTCATAAGGTATGACCGACTAGAATGCAACATACGTAAGCCACATGTGCATTTTGTTTTAAAAATGAGTATATCACTGCGGAACTTGGTCGTACCGCAGTTTTTCAGTTATCAATCATGGTAACAATACGAACCCAGACGCATATGTAATAAATTAACATAAATAGACATTAAGTACTTTGCTTATTTTATAATTAACGTAGTTGATAAAAGTATTAGATATTGTTGGTTAATTGACACAACCACATAGTATCAAATGAGCTTTATCGTATTCGTTAAATTTAGAATAGCATAATAAGTTATAACTAAAAATACCTGCATTATAGTCTATAGCGAAATATAGAAATACTGAATAATATACACTGTGTCCACCATGGGGTCTCCGAAACCGTGGAGGATACGACGATGGTCAAGATAGAGAAAAGATGCGCAAATAACAGTTATTAATTTATTATCATGCTTTAGAAAACCAGGCAATTCCGATTACTTCCGAAGAATGCTAGAAAAACCGAAATTTCCCGATTTCGTTTTTATTATTTTTTTTATCTTATTGGAACAGATCCAAAAAAATAAAAGAACACTGTCATTGCCACTTTTTGAGCTCTACAAGACGCCGTTGAGAGACAATGCAAGGTTTATTTCGAAGTAATCATCATCAACTGTAGTTTTTTATTTGGCCCGCAAAAAATGTAGCATTTTTTATTACGAATACTGTTGGTATTCGTTCGAGAATACCTATCGGACAAATTTTCTATTTGCCAGGATATTTTCCTCGATTAGGGCGTTGTGCGCGGGTGCACCATCCTGTTGAATGCAACAGGTTTTTTGTGTGTACCATATATTGTTGAAATCGCATCGTAATAAAAAATTTTACTCAATACGTGCCATATAGACAACTAAAGTTGATGATGATTTCTCCGCAACGAAACGTTGTATTAAAAATCTCTCGACGATGTCTTGTAGAGCTCAAAAAGTGATAATGATAAAGTGATTCTTATATTTTTGTAGTTGTTCAAATAACTTCAGAAAACAATAGAAACCAAATTGGCAAAATTCAGTTTTTCTGGAATATTTTCTGTTTAATCTGTTTAATTACGCAACTTACCCCTAATTTAAACATCGTTGTATCTTCTATGGCTTCGGAGATATAAAAACCTAAAAAATTCTGCATTGACCAGGAATTGAACCCGGTAAGTTAATGGTGGGAATTTTAAGAGTCTTAGGTAGTTTATTAGACCCAATTTGAACAAAATTTGCGTGGTGGATGAGAATTTCTGAAATCGCAATCGAAAAAGAACATTACTGTTCGTAACACCGCTCTAAAGTTTGAGTAGAGTAGCCCTAGGGAGTTCATTGATTACAAGGAAGGCAAAATAGCTACTCACTTACCTTGTTCCTTCTTTTCTAATCTGCATTTTACAATTTCATGTAACAGTTTTCAGCCTGTACGAGTCGACAACATCGGGTTGCAACGTTATTTTCTTACTGTTTGATATTCCGGAATGAAATCCATTCGATTTGTGCCCGTCTTTAAAATCTTTTTGCTCGTAATTTAACCTTAGTATCCTTACACTATTTAGGTATCTTCTTGGTAATTCACTAGTTTAGATGTAAATTATTCCTGTAGTAAATTTGTTATAATTTTAGTATAACAGATATCTTATTTATAGTTCTTTATTTTACCGTTAGAGGTCCAGGAAGTGTTAAAGGTTTCTTTCACCTAGTTCTTTGTTTTAGCTATCCCTTCTTTAATTTTATGTTGCTCTCGCAGTGAAATTTCCGCTTTCGTCTTGTGCACTTGCAAATGATTTCTTTTAGTACGACATTACTTTTCTGACTGCGTGTCTATCTGCTTAAGAGATTAGTGTTTTGGTTTTGCCATATTTTGGAGTGGTTTTCTCGTTCTCTTGTTGTCTGCGGTGGCTTCATTTTTACGGATCTGTATTTGCATTTAAAGAATACGAGGTATGTTACATTATTTCGCAGTATTTTTCCCATTATGTAAATTTTTTATGGCTTTTACCTTCACTGAATACTCAATCCTCAAGTTTAACTTCAAGAATGATGCAGTGGATGAATTTCTACATTACCCCACCATTTCGGTAAAACCAAACATGGCACTTACATGGAAGTTGTTATACCTGGAGATTTCAAGATACTTCCTATAACCGCAAGTACATTTACGAAATCTTTGAGATTATTACTGTTGTAAATCGCTCTGTTATACTCCCGTGTGGTTAGGCACCCATCGGGCGCGTCCCCGGGTGGCGGATAGGGGAAAGCCCATACAGACACTTGAATGATCGTACGTGACTCGTGCTTCGGTGTGGGTAGTGACGATTATAAGTGGCTCGTCGGGGCTAAAACCCAGACTGGTAGCGACGAAGGTCGTCGCCGCGGACCAACCTCCCAAGTCAAGGTGTTAGCGACCGTGCCGAGGACTGCGTGGCACTGGGGTGCAGTGTCGATAACGGTGCCCCTCGGATACCGGGCGACCTCCGAGTGGTGGCTCTTTTCCTTCGGGAAGGGGCTGGCAGCCAAGCCCTGGGCAAGCGGCTCTGCCCAGGTGAGACCGCATTTCCGCACTACTCGTGGGAATTGTATGGAATCTTCTAACAAAACCTTTCTGGGCTCCTCGTCAGAGGGGACCAACAAGCCGGGCCCTCAAAAGGGGTCCGGTAACGGGGCAGGCTCCTCGATAGAGGGGACGGCTCCAACGCAGGGCCTTACCCAAGGACCTGGTGGTGGGTCAGCTCCTATTCGCAAGAAGAATAGGACTGGCGCACAGAAGGCGATGGCCAGGAAGCGCCGGCTCGAGGGTAAAACCTCGGGTCAAGCGGGCCCTGCGCCAAAGCCTAAGGCTGCGTCTGGGTCGTTGGCTCAGGGGGGCAACCCGACGTCAGGGACTAAGCGTCTCAGATCAGAGGGAAGCACTCCAGGGTCTGGCTCAAAGCAGCCTGAGAAGAAGCCTAGAGGTTCTGATGCACCCAAGGGTGCACCACGAACTTATGGGCAAGTCGCTGCGTCAGGGCTTAAGGTGGCCGTCGTTCCGGTTTCATACCCGGAGGTGGACATCTCTGAGGCTCAGTCGAGGTGCATTATGGCTGCATTGAATGCAGTCGTAGACCAGATGGAGGGAGGGCCCTTTCCTCGGCTGGCAGGGTTCCGCTGGAATCCGCAGGGTGCCATCGTGGCCGAATGCGAGGACCAGTGGACCTTGGACTGGTTGGAGAGGACCGTCCCTCTTATCAGGCCCTGGGATGGCGCGTCGCTGAAAGTTCAGAGGCACGTCCCGAGGGTAACCAAGGTGATGGCTGTGTTGTACGGGCTCCCGGATGACACGGACACCATTTTGAAGCGCCTCCAGAGGCAAAATCCTGGTTTCAGGACTAGTCTATGGAGGACGTTCTTTCGCAGGGAGGAGCCTGGTAGGATTCTCCTCGCATTTGGTGTCGATGAGACGTCCTATCAGGCACTCCAGCGACAGAACTTTCAGGCGCACGCGGGGGTCTCGCGCGTCACTTTTGTGACGAAAGCGGGTGCTCCGGCTGCGCAAGGTAAGGGAGAGAGCTCCACCGAAGCAGCGGGACCTAGTTCCGTTGCGACGGAGGGGGCTCAACCTCGCAGTGTTGATCTCGAAGAGGCGGCGGGATTGCTCCCGGCGCCCGAAGAGATCGAGAAAGATGTCAGCGAGCTTTTGGCTCGTGTGGCGGTTCTTGGCTCCGACCAGGGGTGGGAACCGTCGGCATCGCTAACGGAGGAGGGAACCTAGTACATCAGTGATGGACAAAGTAACCTTCTTACAGAGCAATTTGCAGCACAGTAAGGCGGCGACCTGTCTAATAGGTCGTCAACTTGCTGTAAAGCAGACAGGCGTATGCCTCATACAAGAACCTTGGGTTTACAATGGACGAGTAAGAGGTCTGGGCCAGGTGGAGGACTCTTTATTATAAGAGGGACAGCCAACTGAACCCGAGGACTTGCATTTATGTCGATAGACGAATCGAGTCTTATCTAATGGCTGATTTTTGTTTCAGGGATCTCGTAGCTCTACGACTTCAGCTGAAAGATGACAGAGGACGGGGCAGGCACTTGGTGGTCTGCTCCGCCTATCTCCCGTACGACTCAGAAAGGGCTCCACCAACCAAGGAGCTGGCTGAGTTGATAGAGTACTGTCGAAGTAGTGGGCTCCCTCTTGTGGTTGGCTGTGATGCAAACGCACACCATGTTGTGTGGGGCAGCACGGACACGAACTCGAGGGGCGACTACCTTCTGGAGTACTTGCAAACAACTGATTTGAATGTCTTAAATCAGGGAGCAGCCCCTACCTTCGTCTCAGCGCGGAGGCAGGAGGTCATTGATCTGACGCTGGGCTCCTTTTCAATAGCTCACATGATCACGAATTGGAGAGTGTCTGATGAGCCGTCGCTTTCGGACCACAGGCACATTCTCTTCCAACTGAACCTGGCATTGCACTGCGGGCCCTGCATGTTTCGGAATCCCCGATCCACTGACTGGGACTGCTATGTGGCAAAACTGTCGGACCAGTTGGATAGACCACCTTTGCTCTGTCGGAAAGCAGCGCAGGTGGAAGAGGCGGCCGCATTAGTAAGCGACGCCATAACAGCGTCCTATGAGGACAGCTGTAAACTGCGTACCTTTCGAGGGAAGAAGAGAACACCTTGGTGGAACTCAGACCTTGAAAAGGCTCGTAAGGAGGTTCGCAGGCTCTTTAATAGGGCCATGCGAACTAAGTTACCTGCGCACTGGGAAGATCTTAAGATCTTCCAGCGCAGGTATAAGGACCATATTCGGAGGTCGAAACGAGGATCTTGGAGGACTTTCTGTGGTAACATGGAAGGTCTTCCTGAAGTTCAAAAACTTCGTAAAATCCTTTTGAAGGACCCGGGGCAAAAGGTGGGGACACTGAGGGTTCCATGCGGTAGATATACGGCTACCGCGGGTGAGGCTCTCACATGTCTCCTGGAAACACACTTTCCAGGCTCCGGGGACTACTTAACTTCGGACCCACCAAAGGGAGCTACTCGGGTCGGTGTAAGGTCGATCAACTGGAAGGTAGCATCCCGGGTGGTTACCGAGGGATCTCTGAGATGGGCGGTCAGCACGTTCAGCCCATTTAAGAGTGCAGGACCGGATGGGATATTCCCGGCTCTTCTACAGAAGGGCCTGGAGCCGCTGCTCTTACACTTGTTGCATCTCTTCAGAGCCTCTCTGGCTTTAGAGTATATCCCCGAAAGCTGGAGGAAGGTAAGAGTTGTGTACCTACCTAAGCCGGGTCGTTCTAAATATGACGTGGCGAAGGACTATAGGCCCATCAGCCTATCATCGTTTCTTCTAAAAACGGTGGAGAAGCTGGTGGATGCATACATTAGGAATGGCGTACTGGTTAGTAGACCACTACATCCGTTCCAACATGCTTACAGGGCTGGTATGTCCACGGAGACGGCTCTACACAGACTGGTGTGCAGGCTGGAAAAGGGAATGTCTTCCGGAGGGATAGCTCTGGGAGCGTTTTTAGATATCGAGGGTGCGTTTAACAACACCACGTTCGATTCGATTAGTGAGGCTGCTGAGAGCTTTGGTATTGATGGGTCGATCGTAAGATGGGTCCGAGCCATGCTCGAAAGCAGAATCATTATATCCTCAATTGGGATGACGGAGATGAGCTCATCGGTTACTAGAGGATGTCCGCAGGGTGGGGTGTTGTCTCCACTTCTGTGGTGCCTGGTACTAGACGGGCTCCTCCGCATCTTGAACGAGGGGGGAGCGTATACACAGGGATACGCGGACGATCTCGCGATCGTCATAACTGGGAAGTTTCCAAACACCGTGAAAGAGCTCATGCAGGGGGCTCTCGAACAGGTGGATAGGTGGTGCAGTAGCCATGGCCTTTCCGTTAACCCGGAAAAGACCGAGGTTGTTTCATTCACGAATAGAAGGAGAGCGGATCTTGCTGGACTCGCTCTTCGAGGACGTCAACTGGGTCTGACCAGGTCAGTGAAATACCTGGGAGTCATCATTGACTCCCGCCTGACCTGGAAAGGGCACATTGAGCGCATAAGCAAAAAGGCCACTGCATGTCTATGGGCATGTAGAAGGGCTTTTGGTTGTACATGGGGCTTGAACCCTCAATTGGTATACTGGCTTTACACTGCAGTGATAAGGCCAATAATACTGTATGGTGCACTTGTATGGTGGCCTGCCATGCGCAGGGTAACCTACAGGAAGCAGCTAGGAAAGGTCCAGCGACTCGCCTGTCTGGGAGTCACTGGAGCCCTAAAAACCACGCCAACCTTGGCCATGGAGGCACTTCTGGGACTAGAGCCTTTACACTTAGCTGTGGAGGCAGAGGCTCGGAAAGCTTCCATACGGCTAAACGATTGGGATGAATGGAAGGATCGAGGCAGCCTTGGGCACGGGCGGATCTGGGAGGAAACCCTCAGAACCGATCCCCTCCTTGCAAGGAGGGACGTGATCCGGGCTATCTTGCTAAGACCAAAGCGTTATAAAGTCATTCTCCCGGATAGGGAGCAGTGGCTGAACTCGGATTGCCCGTTCCTCAAACCTGAGGGGCTCGTGTGGGACGGGTCCCAAACAGAAAGGGGAACGGGCATGGGTATATATATGGTGATCGACCGAGAGCCAGCGTCAGCGTCTCCCTTGGTCAGCATAGCACCGTGTTTCAGGCAGAGATGTTAGCCATCATGACCTGTGCACAGGAAAACCTCCGTAGAGGTTACCGTAATAAGCATATATACATATGCAGCGATAGTCAGGCGGCGTTGAGGGCCCTGTCGGTAGACAGGTTCCGATCAGCTACGGCGCTTGATTGCAGGCGAACCCTAGATAGATTAGGTGAGTCTAATAGCGTAAGCTTGATTTGGGTGCCAGCGCACTGCGGAATAGGGGGCAACGAAAGGGCGGACGAGTTGGCCCTAGGGATTGCTCCCTCCGTTGTTAGGGCCAGGATTAAAGATTGGTTGACCAGTCAATTCCAGGCAACAAGTAACCGGACTCCGGCAGTCCAAGGCCTTTCTAACAGGGCCCCTTGGCAAATCGGGGTCTTCTAAGCTTCTAAAACTTAATAGAAGCCAGCTTAGGAAGATCACTGGTGTCCTTACGGGACACTGGATGGTCAACTATCACCTGCATAACATTGGGCTCGCGGAGGAGTCCACGTGCAGGTTCTGTGGCGAGGCAGATGAAACTGCCGAGCATGTGGTCTGTCACTGTGACGCTTTGATCAGGGACAGATATCAACTCCTTGGAGACAGATACCTGGAACCGAGGAGGGTGAAGCAACTTAGGCTAAACAGGGTCCTATCCTTCATTGAGAGGAACGCGCTCTGAACTCAGTTGCGAAGAAAGGGGGTAGGCACAATGGGCCTCTGATGTGCCTAAGTGCTGCCCGGTCGGGCTCCCCTGAGAATAGAATAGAATAGAATATACTGTTATACTACGTACTTAGTTTTTGTCGTTACCAAAGATTTAACTTTACCCATATCGAGACCCGCTTTTGTCTACATTACTTTCCGATTGGCACGAAGATTAATTTTGTTAGTTCAATTGGATTGTATCCTTCCTATAAACTGTGTCATACCGATATTAGTAGCATTGTTCATATTAGCTTGTTTACATTTTCAATTAATTAGATTGCGCTGCTATTGAATAGAAATTTAGTTAATTTGTGCATCGTAGAGTGTTTTTATTGAATTTCACGTCACGTTTATGCTTTTATACCCCGAGATATTAAGTCCGTGGTTGATTAAAATTTTGCTTTTACTAGTGTAAAGTCATTCAAAATATTGATTCTTTTTGAATATAAGAATAATAATAATAACGTATTTTATTAAATCACGCTAATCGCATTAAGAAAAACGAATATTACTTACAGTTTTTATATTCGACTGCTTCCGTGTCGGACGTTAGCATTGCTATTTCGCAATATTTTCTGTGCAGCGCGATTCACTACATTTTCAATTTGTTTGTTTGTGTTTTTGTCTGTTACAGATTAGCAGAACGCGCCTTACTGAATTCGAACGGCCGCTACCAGAATTCAAAGGTATATTTTATTATTTTCGACGACTCAAAAACCAATTATGCTATCTTCCAACAAAAGCATGATGAATTTATGATTAGGATTCAGCAAATATTTTACGCCACCACATAAAAGAAACAACACACCCCGACGAATAGATAGATTAGACGAGTATAATGGCTTAATGGGCGACAGCGCACAGTGGAACAGGTGGAAACGAAAGGGCGGACGTGCTGGTTCGCGAACGCAGTGGCGGGGTCTTCGTCGGGCCTGAGCCTACTGTAACGGATATTACTTCTTCTTCTCGTCTATGGTTACTCTTCCTACATCGTAATTAAATTGGGGGTGGTTCTTGTTATGTAATTATATTGATATGGCTCGGCTGTTCGTCGGTTATTAACCCTCTATAACTGGTCTCAAGGGTAATGCAAAGGGGTAAATAATAACTCAATAATCATTTATTAAATTTGAATTAATTAATTGTATTTTTCTAAATCCTCCTGTACAATAAAAAATAAAGCCTAGCAGAGATTAGGATTAGGAAGATCATCGGTGTTCTCACGGAGCACGGGATGGATAACTATCAACTGCATAACATTGGGCTTGTGGAGGAGCCCCAAGAGTGTATCGGAATAAATTGTAAAAAATTTGATGAGCTTTCAATTTTGATAAGAATTTTTCCTATGACCCACCCTGCTCGAGATATAGTCGAAAAACCGCAAAACTGTATCTTCAGCCTCCTTCCCCTCCCTCCGGCGGCACCGAAATCGCTCGGGACTTTATTAAACAATCATCAGGGGATCTTTAGCCACACATTCCCGAAAAAAATGGAACCTAACGAAATGTTTTTTTCTATATTTCCTAGAATCACTGGATTAAAGCTTAAAAACTATATCGAGAACGATTTTGTAGTGACTATCACATTAAAGGACTTCTACTGCACTCCTATCAAGTAGTTTGTTACCTTGAAATGGCGGGGTTTCCCCAACACTCCTATCAGCTATACTGCACGTGTGGCTACTGGCTAGGATACCTTTTGTGCACAATGCTGGGTAGGTATATTCCAAAATTGAAACATTTTTCCTTAGAATAATCCTTCTTTTTGGGGTTTCTGAAAAGTAAGAGGCATATATATTAATGGTCTCGGAGCATTGGCCAAACCGATCTAAAAAGTTCAGTGACGAGTAACGGAAATTTTCACGGATTCAAGAGTTCGATATCAATAGTGCACTCTCGTAATTCTTTTTAAATAAAAGATAAACAATTGCAAAAAGTATAATTGGCACACCTTTTTTTACATATATTTGTATATAGGTACATGTACAGGAAAGTTCCTTGTATAACGTTATATAAAAACTTCAAAATTTGATACTCACTACGGCGGCGTAATAATAAGGATCCAATCCAACTGAATACCGAACGATACTTGAGATCGTTTTTGGCCCGATAGTCTAAATAGCTGAAAAACCAAGCGATCTAACGTGTCTGAACAAAGTTATCATGCATACGGACAGACAGACAGCAATTCAAAATTATAAACGATCTCGAGAATCATTAATAAATTGATCTGGAAATAAACTAAACACGTGATAAACCATAACTGTTTATTTATTAACTGATTACAACTGAACTCTAACACTAATGTGGTTGTAAATGGTTTTCAGTGCGCAACAAAATGTGGTTCAGAACGCAATGTTCTGCAGTTTTGCTTCTTATTTTTCTCCACGTGTAAGATATTTTTTAGATGTACCTGCGATAACTTTTTTTTAGATGCGAGTGCAAAACGGGAAGTAACAAGATCATACTTCCCAGTTACTTACTGATAGGTGTAGCATCATCCGCTTACCAAATCGAAGGCGCTTGGAATGCCGATGGCAAAGGTGAAAGCATTTGGGATCGAATGACGCACAATATGACCTTCAAAATTAGAGACGGCTCAAATGGGGATGTCGCTTGTGATTCGTACAATCAAATAAAGGAAGACGTAGATATGGTTAGGAAACTAAGAGTGCAATTTTACCGATTTTCCATTGCATGGACCAGAATTCTACCAAACGGTTTCCCAAACAAAATCAACAAGGCAGGCGTTCGCTATTATAATAGGTTAATCAACCGATTGTTAAAAAAGGGTATAACGCCGATCGCCACTATTTACCACTGGGATCTTCCCCAAGCGCTTCAGGACTTGGGAGGATGGGCCAATCCCCTTGTACAGTATTGGTTTGAAGGTTATGCCAAAGTTCTCTTTGAAAATTTTGGGGATCGAATTAAAATGTGGGTTACTGTTAATGAACCACAGCAAATTTGCTCTTTTACCTATTCAACGGGAGTATACGCTCCCGGTATTGTTTCAGACGGAATAGGTACCTATATTTGTTATCATAATTTATTAAAAGCCCACGCTCGTGTTTATCACCTATACAATTCGACGTTCAGGCAGTCTCAAAAAGGTAAGCAGTTTATCTTCATACAATACCTGGGGACAGTGTTACTAAATCTCAAAGTGAAGGCAAAAACTCCTTTTGCATAATCATGGAAGGGAACTCGATTTTGTAAAACCTTAGCTATGTTTTATGCTTTTAGGGCAGATTGGCATTAATACAGAAGTCACCTGGTTCGAGCCTGCTACCAACAGTACTGCAGATAAAGCAGCCGCCGAAAGGAGATGGGAATTTGAGGTGGTTAATGATTTCGCAAAGTATTATCCTCAATATTTTTATTGCAGTGTGGTATAATTGCGCACCCAATATTTAGTGCCGATGGCGACTATCCCAACTTAGTCAAGCAAATTGTCGCAAAGCGTAGCAAGGAGGAAGGTTTCCCAGAATCTCGACTTCCTAGACTTACCGCCGAAGAGATCGGTTTCATCAAAGGAACTTCTGACTTTTTTGGTTTAAATCACTACGCAACGTTGAAAGTGAAGCCAAGCAAGCCTTTGAAAGGGACGTCGGAATTCAATGATGTTGGGGTGAAAATTGTTAAAGAATACGAATGTAAGGATACGCCGTGGTCTTACTATTTTAGGGTACGTATTCATCTTTTTTCTTAGGGCGTTAACATTTTTGCAGTCGGTACCTTGGGCGTTTACAAAATTGCTCGCTGATATTAAATCCCGTTACCAAAATCCTGATGTATACATATTTGAGACTGGTATTCCCGACGAAGGAGGTACGCTCGATGACCAGCATCGTATAAAATATATCAAGGTACAATTAGGTGTATCTCCTGCATGTTCACCATTGGTTTTTAGGAGAATCTGGCTGCAGTGGTATCAGCGGTACATGAGGAGGGTGTAAAAGTTCGAGCATTTACACTTTGGAGCTTAATGGACAGTTTCGAATGGCGGGGTGGGTACACGTACGTATTGATTTCAAGTTGACCACTTGCTTTAACAACTTTTGTTTTAGGTATCGCTTTGGTCTGTATTCAGTTAATTTTACGACACCTAAAAGAACAAGAATTCCAAAGGCGTCGGCGCTATATCTAAGAAGTATTATGAAAAATCGAGAATTTCTATTATAAGCTTGATCCTACTTCGTGTATACATTATTAATTAATTACTTAGATGTAATAGAACTTTAGGTTTAAATTGGACCTCAAAGCAAATGAGAGAAAAATCAAAGAAATGTATGTAACATTAAAGCACATTCTGAAACAGCGTAAGGGCTTCTCAAAGGCAAACGGCATTTTATCCCCTTGTCACTTCGCCTTACAGCGGATATATTTGACATTCTCCACCCATAGACTCAAAAAGCTTGTAATTCAATATTTAAATGCCACCCTTAAAGAGGCCCAAACTACACTGACCGCATATATCCGATTTGGTGAGGTGGTACTGCCAATTTTCTGTTAAAATTAGCGATCATTTTTTCCTGCGTAATTGAGTTCGATAGGGTGTTGACTGTTTAGTGGCTTTAGGAACCTTGGGAACGTCCTTTCGGGCAGAGCAAGGGGTAATTTTATCTTAATTAGTTGTACGTGCTTCCAGATTTGCTGTTAATTACAAAGCACCATTTTGAGAGGGTGATAATTAATTCAAAAACAGATTGGTAGGGACAAATCTGGAAAAATTTTTTGAAGGCATTATGAGTCGAGCCGCGTTAGAGCTCGTTACTAATTTGAAAATACTCAAGCGGTAAAGAAATCTGGTTTGGGCCACTAATATGGTGTGTGGTCTAAAGTAAAGTAGTCGTTTTGAATAGATTCGGTCTTCGATGAAGAAAGAGTTAACCACGCTGGCCGCCGTTAAAAAATTTGTTCGTGAGTAGTTAGGGAGAAAGACTTTTTTGGGGCCTTTAGAGTTCGAACTAAGTGTTATTTCGAGCATCATTTTTTAAATGAGAATTTTCCCGCAAATTTTCCGCGAGTAACGAGCGAAAAAGCATAAAACCAGTAAGTAAATTAATTTACCGCGTCGGTGGTATCCCAAGCCAAAAGAGATAATGAGTAAAGGAAAAATAAAAACCGAACTCCGAATAAAGGCAGTCAGATTCGATCAAGGACAAATTAATTAAACGTACCGGTATAATTGTTGCAACAAATGATTATGCCAAGATGCCAATTTCTGGGTCATTTTGTCACTCATTGAAAGTTTAAGAAAGAAAATATTCATAGACGTAAATGGGTTCGATTTAATTAGCCATAAGGTCTATTTTGGAAATCTAACGGGGTTCTGCCTTCGGGTAACTGCAGCCGGCTGGGCAGAGATTGAAATTTGGAGTAATTTGAGGCTATATTAATGAAAAAAAAATATAACAAAGTATGTATGGTATGCAGCTGTTGAAACGGAGCCGGTGCTGGGTCTGAAGATACCGCCACTGGTTGTCGCTGTCAAATGGAATAGCGTCAAAATAAACGTTGGTAATTTCTCGTAGTTTTTTTCCGGACCCTGACACAGGTGCATTTAAATAATGATATAACAAGGCCTTAATTTACTAGGATTAACGACGCCAGTAACACAGGTGAGTAAAATAGCCAAATAAAAGTAATGATTAAATTAACAGGTCTGAGAATGCATAATAATGAAACTAAAAAGGAAAGCTTTCGGGAAAATGAAAACTAAACGGAAAATAAATTAAAAGGACTTCTCGTTTTCTAATCGGGGTTCTGATATCTGGTCGGTAAGAGGTAAAGAAATTGATTTCTGGTTCTGGCTTCTGATAGGTAAGAGGTACTGGAAAATTTCTGGTTCTGGTTTCTGGTCGGTTTGGGGTAACGGAATTCTCCCTGGAAGTCTTGACAATCACACTTTTATAGAGACAAGGAGAAGCACAAAACAAGTGGAGAAATGAGAAGGGATTTAAATTCAAAACAGGGAGACGACAGCGTCGACATCTAACGGAGGAATTTTATAACACATACTACAGGATGTTTCTAAATTAAATTTCTACGTTACCACTTTTATATTTTTTTTACAATTTTGTATACAAAAACTTGCTGTATACTGTTATTGTCTTTGACAGTGAAGTAAGAGTACTTTAAAAGCAACGAATTAGATTTATTTTGACTTTTTCGCATTAATAAGATCGATAATTTACTGCAAAAAAATCGTTATTTGAAAAAGACCATTGCAACCGCCCTTTTTTAATATAAAGATTGTAATTATATAAAACTTTTTATAAATATTAATGTGTCAGTTTTGACAGGAGTCATGTAAAGTGACAGGAGACCGGAAAAATAGCCAGGGCAACAGATCAAGAAAGAAGAAAAAACCTTAAAGTTAAGGACAGAATGAAAAACAAAGACCAAGAAAGCCATAAGCCGCGCCCTTGTGGTGCAGTGTTAAAAAAACCCGACTATGGCACTGAGGGTCCCTGGTTCGAATCCCGCTTCGCGCATGGATACTTGTGCATGTATAGTGGGTTGGCTAAAACACCGCCCATTTAAAAATAAGAGCCATACGTGCAGCAAGCTATGACGAGCTTCATAGTCATGCGGACGATATCCTGAAAAACTTATGGTGCGACTCTTTTCAATTGGGGTGCATTGAAGTTAAGCTATGAAAGAGACGGTCTCATTGTATTTCATATGCAATGAATGCAAATAATAATATTGTAGCGAATATTCCAGAAATTCCGACAGACATCGAGGCGCAATGAAAGATTAGTCATCGGCGATAAAAAAACGAAAGCGGATGTGACGCAATCTTTCATAGAAATATGACGTGTTTGTTCGAGAACATTCTGAAGCGTCCTTGAACACTCAAGAACATTCTAGAAAGAATGTTGTTTGCTATGTAAGCAAATCTCTATTATAAGCTGTAAATTACACCACTAGGAATGTAATTAACGTAATTTGTAGTACTTCCCAGGAAAGAATGCTGATCAAAGATCACGCTGATGCCGATCTACAACTGTGTCTACCACTCTGTGACCGGAATTCCCTCCTGACGAGCCGAATATGTATTTTAAAAGATATTCAAATCTGAATCATTACCAAATATCCAACAACAAGCACACTCGCTCTTGATAAAAGGGCACTTTACTGGAACAAAAGGGTAAATCTTGCCAGAGTACCGTTCCCACGTTTTTGAAGGCAAACTTTGACGATAATACACTAATTTTATACAGAGGAATGATTGGCTTTCATAAAATCATAATGATACCTGTTAAATAGGCACATCTATCTAATTAGGCTAATTAATAAGTAATTAATTTTGAAATTAAAATTGTTTAGGTACAATCGCACGTACTTTACACGGCCTTTCAACTCAAATACGTAGTTTCCCACAAACGTGATAAGGTATTTTCTGGAAAGGTGGGCACTTTTTATCTTTGGCCTCCTGATGGAGAACCTTTCCCAATAAATCAAAATCAACTTTTACATGTAAGTACTTTTTGTGTCAATTTTTTAAGTACTTAGTTAATGGAAACTGAAGTCATGTGACAATAACGGCAGTAAGTGGCCGCAATGTGACTAAAGGTCAATTGCTTTGTGGCACAATTTTCAAATTTCCCAGACAAGAATAGCAACCAGGTGTTTACATGTTCAAGGATTTCATAAAATAAGCGTAAGGATTTCCAGTATGACGCAAAATACACTTAAAGACATTTTTATAGTTAATTTTATATGGTTAGCTTTTCTGAATTGGTTACTTTAATAATTATAGCTAAAAGTCAGTTACATTATTAACATATGTATGGTCCATAAAAATTCATTTCAGTGTTAACACAAATTAACATCTTTTTTATATTTTCTACATGGAAAAAATTACATAAATCACGCGTACTTACAGTATGGAAGGGGATCGACCTTTCAATGATTTAAATTCTTCTCACTGTACCATAAGTGGATAAGTCGCTGTGCCTTCAGTAAAAATGTTTTGGAAAATTACGCTTTTAGTAGTAGCATCTATTCAAATTACGTAAGTCCATAGAACTGTATTTCCAATATTGTCAAACTGTGTTTAGGTTTTGTCAAAATGTTAGTGGAATTATGCTACCGACTCAATTGTTAATGGGTGCAGGCACATCTGCCTATCAGGTTGAAGGAGCTTGGAATGAGGATGGTAATATGGGCGCATATAAACTTAAGTGACAGTAATTTTAGGTCGAGGTCTAAGTATATGGGACACTTTTGTTCACGACTATCCCGAAAAGATTGAAGATCATAGTACGGGAGATGTTGCAAGTGATACCTATCATAAAACAAAGGAGGACGTCGCTCTTCTAAAAAATATAGGTTTTCACTTTTATCGATTTTCGATATCATGGTCAAGAGTACTGCCGAAAGGATTTGAAAATGAAGTGAATCCATTAGGCATTGCTTACTATAACACTCTAATTGACGAGTTATTGGCAAATGGCATTGAACCGGTTGTGACAATGTACCACTTCGATCTTCCCCAAACCTTGCAGGATTTAGGAGGATGGACAAATCCTAATATCATAAAGTGGTTTACAAATTTTGCTAGGATTCTGTTTGAAAATTTTGGAAATCGAGTTAAAAGTTGGATCACTATTAACGAACCGAAACAACTTTGCAGATTTACCTATGCCAAAGGATTAATAGCACCAGGCCTTGTTTCAGAAGGTTTAGGTGAATACTTATGTATCCACTACGCAACGTTAGCGCATGCCAGCGTTTATCACCTGTATTCGCGCCGCTTTAGAAGATCTCAAAACGGTATTTTGGGCAGGGACAAAGAAACGTATTGACACCGCCTGTCTTTTAGGAAAAGTCGGTTTAACCATTGATGGTTCTTGGTGCGAACCAGTAGATAAAAAAGAAAGGGATGCTGCCAGCCGAAAGATTGCGTTTGATGTATGTGACATGTTCCACTACATAATATCCCAATTATACTTTCAGATTGATATGTTTGCCAATCCAATTTTTGGTCAACTTGGAGGTTACCCAGACTTTATAAGTAAATTCATAGGTTACAAAAGTAAATTAGAGGGCTACACAGAATCACGTCTGCCAAAATTGAGTCCCGAACAAATATCATATATTAAGGGCACTGCCGACTTCTTCGGACTAAATTTCTATTATACCACTCTAGCCAAATCTGGACCTTCGACTCTTCTTAACACCAAAGATATGGACGTGGAGGATCTTCCGGAACCGAACCCAATTAAAAATGTCAACGAGTCTATTAAGGTAAGTTGGTCGCAGTGTTGTTTATGAAATTTTAATTTGCACTTCAGTTAGCGGCCATCGGGTTTAGGAAAGTACTCAGGTATGTCAAAACAAAATATGGAAATCCCGAGATTTGGATTTTGGAGAATGGATTTCCAACAACCGAAGATAGTGGCTTGGATGACCAGTCGCGGATCAGCTACTTCAAGGTAACTCCGCCAACTGCTTTGGTACTTTCTGAGCGTAGCACTTTTAGAACAGCATACGGTCCGTAGTAGATGCAATAAATAAGGATAAAGTAAATATTCGAAGATATACTGTTTGGAGCATTATGGACAACTTTGAGTGGAATAAGGGATATACGTAGGTATGTGTTCCAACAATTCGTACTTAATGTATTTTTATTTTAGTGTTAGATTTGGTATATTTCACATTAATTTCACGGATCCGTCCCGAGAACGAGTGCCTAAGGCCTCTGCCACTTTCTTTAAAACGTTACTTGCAACGAGAACGTTACCAACAGAATAAAGAGAGATATAAAATCGTGCAGGAAGGGGTTCTTTTTGGCAGCTGTATCATAATAGTGACTTAGATTTGTTCTAAATAATTTGTCAATTCGAAACGGATGGGCGTTAGGGATAGACACTTTTGTAACTTCATTTACGGTCTCAAATTGGATTGATGATCGCAGTACGCCAAATGAAAATTCTACCACGTGTAAAATGTTGCGTTTTTAACGGAAAGGGAATAAACGTGTAACGTGCTAAGGCATCCACTGACGATGTTAGATGGTATTATATAGAGCATGTATTACGTAGTTCTAAAAATATTAGTTTCTCTGATCTAAAATAGGAATCAAGGAGAATTTTTAACAGATAATTAGTTGTCTAAACCGAAAATGCTCCCGCTGCATTACAGTGAAAGTTAACTTTAGGGGAAGCATGATCGAGAATTTCCGGATTTCCTTCAAGTAAACCACAACTTTTAAGACTTTCATAACAAACTTTTGACTTGCTCAAATCACCACCCTCCTTTCTATAGAGATCGTTATTTCAACAAAAACATCACCCCAAAATAGTAATAAATCAACAAAAGGAAAATTGTCTAACCTAACGTTTTGATTAAACAGCATCTTTGACACAGAAGAGAGAGGTTGTTATTAATGATTGAAAAGGGGGGTATATTCAGATGAAAGGCGTGCGCGTCTAAGAAAAATCGCACTGTAAATTCGAAACGTAAAGAAGTTACATCTAAAATAATGGCAATTCTATGCATTGAAGTTCTTTTTTACAATGCGTATCTGACGAGAAAATATGGTCTGAGTAAGTGTATCGGTTTCTTTTCGTGCTTTTGTTAGGCTGTCGAAGCTTTACTACACTAAAAGCTTTCTCAAAAGTGGTCGTAGGTTTTATTCACTTTTAAATGTCTCGATTTCGCTATTCACCGTTTGAGTAATGTTCAGGCGAAGGGCGGTAAGAGTATTTAATTCCGAGGGCTACACTGAAGCAAAAACCTTTAGTTCAATCACAGATTACCTAGGCATTTTAGGTTATATGTTTCGTTTATCTGTTAGTACCAATTAATCTATGTATCCAATGAGATGCAACGGTCTTTGTTGCATAAAGGGTTAAAATTTCCCTTCGTTTCGGAAAGCTTCAAAATTCTGAACTAAAGCTGCAGAAAATAATAATTTGCCATCGGCTAGCCAAATATTTACAAAATTTTACATTTTTTTATGGTTCTACTCATAGCCTAATCTTATTAGGCCATGGTTCTACTTACTGCAGATTGCTCTGAAATTTAACTAATAAATTCTAAAACTTGTTTCCATTTTCCAGTAAAAAGAACAATAAATGGCCCATGTGAAGTTGCCCCCCACCCCCTCCACATGAAATAATTTGACAAAAATGTGTCGATAATTAGTGCTACGTTAGCGCTCTTTTGTGCTCGAAGATTACGATTCCTTGCCTTTCCAAGAAAAACGACAAAAAGTAAAATATTTTGTGAAGATGGCTCCACCCATGACCCGTTCTTAAAGAAACGCACATACGTTGTTAGTGCTGCGTTAGTGCTGTTTTATGCTTAAAAATTACGATTCCAACGTTTTTTTGTTTCCGAGAAAAACAAAAAATAGGTACTAAAGTATTGTGCGGAGTTGACCCCATTTATGACTCGTTAAAAAAACACATACTATAGTTAGTGCTACGTTAGTGCTGTGGTAGTCGAATATTAACAGTAACACTGGATCTTACCTCAAAATGAACCGTGCAAAATGTTAGGAAATATTGAATGACTTTATTTATCGATCTTGAGCAGATATTGGGAATATGGTGGTTTATCAGTTTCTTCAAGACTAAGACTAATCCTAATGTAACTAAAGTCAATAAATTGGTGTAAGAAACAGGGTTGACATTGATATTAAAAAATTTTGTCCAGATCGATCCATGAATTAGAAAAATATCTATTGTTCAAATTATTAATAAAAAAAATTTGTTAGATTGCACGTAAGTTATCCAATGAAGGAGTAACACCATTATTTTTAAAAACTTTTTAATCATGCGGAAACTATGCAGTATTCTAGAACTTCTGTTGAGATGTTCCACCCTGTACAATACAACTTACGACGATGCACCCATTTTTCAGAGCTGGAAACCGTGCAATTTTTAGGAGGCGAAAGCTGTCTGCACCATCTGGAGGGCACGAGCGTTGGTTACGTTTGGAATCTTCTTTTTAATGGCGATTACGAAAGTTTGTTGTTATTTTTGTATTATTTAATGCAGGTAGTTCTTATAATGTATTTGCGTTTTGCATGCAAGATTTTATATTTTTTGCAAGTTCCAATCTTTGATTTTGAAATTGACTTGATTTAATCCCAATGCAGATTCATGTGTTTTGTATCGTTAATCTTTGTTTGAAATCGCGTTCATTTTCGGTGTAATGTTTGACAAATTTTTATTTATGTTTCGATTACATGGCCTTGGCCCAAACTTAGATTTATATTTTTGAGCAGTCTTTTAAACATGTGAAAATTATCGAATTGTTTAGTGAGTGTATGTGTGTACTGACTTGTTTGTAAACTACACGGCCAAGGGGGTGAAAAAAATCTGTAATCAGATGAGTTACCAGATTCAATACCGGGGCTGATCTCGACAATCAACTGTAAGCTCGAAACCCCGAACGAGGGGCGAGTTAGCTATCTTGGGGGCGAGATTCTGCTAATAAAAACTCTTAGGTTGTGATATATGAGTTGTGATTCACTGATTTCCTCATATTTTGTCGTAATATTGAATTTGCCTCAAAGGGCCATGTAATTTTCCGTCTTGCTCCTAACAGAAGGATTTTATTGAGTCACATCATATGTATTTCACCCTTTCTCAGAATTTTGGTACCTGCTTACCTAACCCATTGTTCCCAAAACTTGTTTTTAAACTATATGCCAACTTTGGAAGCTTGCATGGTACATATTTTGTTGTTTTAATAATTCATATCATTAGAAACTATTAATTTTGCTACGCAATTTAATATGAATTTGTGGGCTGGTTTTTTTGTTGGGAATAGCGATTCGGGTGCATAAAAAACTCCATTCCACGTTTTCTCGTAAATTACAGCACTTCACAGTCATCATATATTACAAAAACGCTTTTTAAACGTAAATAAAGCATTGTTTTAGAACAATTTGACATCTGTTCGAAAGAAAACAAGTTGTAAATCAGCATATGCATGATTAAAGCGCATTTTTTGGTAATGCAGGTCAGTATTTTATTAGCGAAGTTTAAAATTATCGATCTCACGAGTAATTTTGGCTGCGTTAAATAATTAATTTTATTTCATTTCAATTGAGGGTACGTCTTCATTTTGTAAAACAAATCACAAAGTAAATAATAAGTTTTTATACTGGTAGCGCTATCTAACGGTAAAATTATAGCACCTCCGAAACCCATATCGAAATTATTTTCTTCAATTATCGATCTTACAAGTAATCTAACTCAAAATAGACTAGTGCCTGCACATCTACACTATAGCAGGAAGCTTTTAGTGAAAATTTGAAGTCTCTAGCTATTGTAGTTATGGAGATCTAACGCGGACAGCCGGCCTGCCAGCAATAACGAATATAATAGCGTATTTTTTTCAAAAATGCGCTAAAAATGCGTTAAAATAGTGGCAGTTGTCACTTCCGAAACTCCTATTAGATACACTAAATTTACCATTTACAGGAGTAGTTTTCATTTAGATCTTGCACATTTTCCTTTTTGTACGTATATTCGATAATATGAATATTTTACAGTCATTATTCAGTTACAACTTTTAATGGATTCCGTCAGTATAATAGTACCTTTCAATGATCAACTTGAAATGAAAACATGACTTAACATTTTGTTTTAAACGGCCTATCAAACGACATGCGATGGATTGACGTTGATCCTGATAGATTACGTACCCTAGTCCATCCACTCTTCCATACGACCTGAGCAATAAATAAATTTGTGTATTCCAAACATACATATTAGATATTACGTTTCGCCTTCGCATAGGCTTGAGAAAGGCGTAACTTTATTTTGGGACTGAGTGGAATGCGAAAAACACAGCTAGTTTAACCTAATCGTAAATTCAACGCACGAGGTGATTCCTTCTGCATTGACGATAAGGCGTTGCCCGGATTACCGATGTCTTGGTTAAAGAGGGAATCTTGGGGAAAACCTGGATTACAATCAACCCTACTGAATAATGATCGCGGAAAAATTCAAAGGGAAAGAAAGTTCTCTCCATATTTACGCTGTATTTATGACGCAGGCACATAATTAGGATTATGACACCTAATCAGAGCTGGGCAGTATTCGATTTTGTAAATACTTTTTAGTATTCAAATCCTTTAAAGTATTCAAATACTTTGTAATTAAATACTTTTATGGAAGCAGTATTTGTATTTTAACTCAAATACTTTCACAAATTAGTATTCGAATACTTCGCAAGGTATTTGAATACTTTTGAGAAGTATTCGAATACTTCGCATAGTATTTCAATACCAAAAATCGACTACTCCAAAATTTCTCGGGAAAACACTTTTTCTTATTAATTTTGGTGCGTAGAATCCAAAACAATTCGTACTTTTTCGATCAGACTTCTCAATCAAAAATTATAGACTAGAAACCAATTTCGAAAAAAAATTCAAAGGGCTGTAACTTTTGAACTAGTAGCCCAATCTTGGAACTGTTTGAAAATATGGATTCTACAGGCCACATTCCATAAGAAAATTTTTTTCCGGGTCGATCTGAGACAATTTTTTTTTCGGGGCTCAAAAAAAAGCAGTGTATAACCTTCCTTTTTTACCAAAAATCGACTGCACCAAAATTTCTCGGGAAAACACTTTTTTTTATTAATTTTGGTGCGTAGAATCCAAAACAATTCGTACTTTTTCGATTAGATTTTTCAATCAAAAGTTATAGACTAGAAACCAATTTCGAAAGAAAATTCAAAGGGCTGTTACTTTTGAACTAGTAGCCCAATCTTGGAACTGTTTGAAATTATGGATTCTACAGGCCACATTCTATAAGAAAAATTTTTTCCGGGTCGATCTGAGACAATTTTTTTTTCGGGCCTCAAAAAAAGGCATTGTATAACCTTCCTTTTTTACCAAAAATCGACTACACCCAAATTTCTCGGGAAAACACTTTTTCTTATTAATTTTGGTGCGTAGAATCCAAAACAATTCGTACTTTTTCGATCAGACTTCTCAATCAAAAGTTATAGACTAGAAACCCTCCAAGGGAATCCTCCTTAAGTTTCTCCTAGGCTAAATATTTTCCTAGAAATCTT